TTTCCTTTCTGATATAATATGAAACATTATTAAAATTTCCTGCTTTTTTATCACATTTCCCTTCTATTATATCTGAAAGGGAACACTTAAGAGAGAAGAAAACTTTATCCCTCTCATCTTCAGCAGCAACAGAATTTCAACACAATATAGGCTCAAAGTTCAATCCCTCTGCAAAAATTATCACCATTTGAGCTAACAGTGACTCGTGAAATTCTGTAAAATATCAGTTAGAATTTTGTTACATGTCTTATTCTCTACTCTTCTAAAGCAAACTTCCCTATCTTAGAAGCTTTTAGATGCTGAATACTTGGCCTTAACGCTGAAGATGTGCCATATTACTATGCCTCCATCTAACAGTATCTTTACACTCAGTTTAGTTGCTCATTTATTGTGAAAATAAATAAAAATTACTTTTTGTGCCTGCAATCCCCATGCAAACCCTGCCAAAGCCAGCCACCATCACATTATCTACCACAATTGAGACTGCATGAAGTGGTAGCAGATGAAAAGATAGTCATAACTCAATAATAAAGAAGTATAATTCCATATTGTGCTTTGATGCCATGCACAAAAGCTGAAATTATGTGATTAGTGTTTATGTAAGTTCATGTCATTACCCCATTGGTAGCTGACCACTTTGACAAGGAAGTAATTTTGAACAAAACTAAAGCAAATTTTAGTCTTAGACATTGCAATCCTTAGTGAGTACTGGATAGGTCTACTGATCTGCTTACTACTTGATGTAGTACAATGCCACTACTACAATGTAGTACATTGATACTGTGACTTACAACTGAAGGTGATGGGCATCTTTGTTTGATTTTGTCAGTCAAATACTGTGCCTTCAGGAGTATGGCAGCAACAATATTGTCCAATGCACTCCACATACTAGTGCACCTTTTACTTAGAAATCCTAATATCATGAATCAGTAAACATTCATGCTTGAGATCATCTTTATCATTAATTATTCACAACAGCAGAATAGGCTGATTTATGAAAATTATATGATCAAGAAAAAAATGCCAACATGGTGAAATTGATGTAAAAAAAATGCTCCAAAAACGAACAAAATGTTTTCTTTTTCAGTTCTTTCAGGATAAATGTACAATAACAATGTAAAAGAATCCCCAAATCATCCTGTGTAAACTACCATAAAATGCTGTTCTGATCCAGTTTGCTGATCAGAACAAGATCTAATCCACTTGAGTCCTATTTCTTTTAATAAAAGTTTCAAACAGTTTGGGCATTGGGCATGTGTAGCAGTCAACAGCAAAATCTACCTAGTAAATGAACTAATTTAACCAGTTGGTAATACTTGTCAATGGGAAATCTTTGAGATTAGTATCTTAGGGACCACATTTAAGATTGAAAAAGAGAGATGGCAGCAAAGTCAGTTCATATTTATTATGATTCTTCTGCAAGAAGCCTTCACTCGAATACATGAGATTGCTTCCCTGTGTGTAGAAAAATTCTACCTTTATAGTTTAACTCCTCTAGGGCAATTAAAATTGCTTCTGCTTTGTGAAAAATTTAATCAATTAAATTAGATGGCCAAAAAGAACAATAATTTGAGAATAAGCATTTTATAGCAAATTGAAAGCAATAAACATATAAGTTCTTTAGGTAGGATGCCAACTTAAACCTATGTTAACCATTGTCTGGAATCAACAAGGACATGAAATCCATCAACACAGCTCCTATTACTATTTTTTTAATTACAGTATTCTTTCTAGGGAAAGTTTTTACCATTAAAGAAGAAACTAATTTTTATTCACAGTTTTGCCAGAATGAAATATAATTCTGCTAGAGTGAAATATGAAAATGTCACTTACAAATAGTTTATATTTTGAATAGATACTCAAATAATCCAAGCACAGTTTTCTTTTGATCACAGTTAAAATATTTAATGAAAAAATCAGGGTTTCCAGGAACAACTCCAGAGAGCAGGTTCCACTTTTTTTTTTTTTCCCTCCAGAATGGCACAAAATTTTTACATCTTTGAGAACTTTGAAGGAAGTAGTTACAATAAATACCAGCAAGTATTACAATTCTGGCATATCATAGCAAAACCTACCTATCTTTAAGATAATTTTTTAGAGAGCACATTTTTGTTAATATTTCACATAATGCACAACTTTTGCTAGACACAAAAGTAGCCTTTTAAGACAGGATTTATAGTACAGTAGTCAAGTCTAACAATACATTATTTTTATTCTTTGCAGAACTTTAAAAAGATAAAGAAACAATGTTGTTAAAATTTACAAATACATTCTTTCATATGAAACATTAACCTGATTTATAGTACATGTTATGTACATGATTATCTAATAATACCAGGTTGTATACACTACAAGCTAAGTTCCAGAAGGAAATAGTAATGCTGTAAAATTTACCTTTGGACAGACATTTACACACCTCTGATTTTTTTTTTTTCTTAAAAACTTCCAACTATTGTAGTTTAATGAACAGCAAGAACAAAGTAAACACAGAGATCAACTGCTTTTGCTTTATTCAATAACACTAAGTTACTCAGAATTCCCACAGTAAATGGCTTTTGATGGTTGAATGCAAGTTCTGAGTTACAATACATAACACAATACACTTAACTGGAGGACATAAAAAAACAAAATACTCAAAATCTGTCAGTGGGACTAAAGTAGTGCTTTAGAACAACTCACAAGAAGTCTGGAAGTTAGTAGTGCAACTGTGACTTTGTCCTGTCCAGCTGATACTCATGTAAACACCTGAAAACCAATGCCTTTTTATCTGAACTTAGACAACAAATTATTTTTAAGTTTACCTCATCTGGGGTTTATACATTTCTTTTAAATTATTGACAAGCTTATAAGACCAGCTAGGTGGCAACTGTTCAAAACCTATTCCTTCTTTCTCTTAAGAGAAAGACTTGTGAGGTGAGCAGCAGACTATAGTTCAAGAAGTAGAAGTAGAAAAGACAACCACAGAAGATAACTATGTGTACCAAAATGTACTCCCTGACTAATTTCTACTGCAGCTATTTTTTAAAACCAGCCTAACATTTTTGTCTCTAGCAGAAGTTTCATTTCTAATGAGGGACCGCTTAATTTGCAGAAATACCCATAGTCATTAAAATAGTGCTCAGGAAACTACTGGCACTTTCAGGGGAAGTATTAATTGTAGATAGCTCAACAGAATGTTCAGAACTCATGTCATTAATGAGTCTTTTATGACAGATGTGGCCAAATTATTTTTCTGTTGGTGGTGCTGCAGGTAGTCACTGTTAAAGCTGACACTAAATAGAAGTAAATGATTGTATGGTACTACACAGATGACAAATTTACCCCTTCTCTCAATTACCATTGTGGAATCAAATAAAAAGCTTCATACAAACAGTTTAAATTACAGGAAGAAAACCCAGATGTAAAGTCTGAATGCAATCAGTTAACTAGACAGTGTCATTAGTTCAAATGAGAGTGTTTTCCTAAAGCCAAGCATTTTTTTTACAAAATGGTTATTTCCAAGATATTTTCAGTTACTTCAGCTTGCAGTAACTAAAAATCTTCTCAATTACTACAGAAGCTCTTACAAGCACTTCTCTGAGGATTTTAGAATGTTTAAAGTGTCATTAATAATGCAAAAATCTTATTCTACATAGAAAATGAAAACTACAGTACATTCATATAATGCCAGCTTTCTGGCTCCTCAGTAAAATGAGGACAGAGCTGTCATCTTCAGAAAACGAAGGCTGAAACTTCTGTGGATTTCTGTTTCTAGCTTACTGGTGTTAAAAAAAAAAGCACAGTATCTTTTTGCTTTTTTCCCCTCCTTTTTTTCTTCATTCTAGAAGCATATTAGAACACCTTAAAAATATTAACAAAACAGTAATGAAGGAAAAGAGTAATCTACTTAAGTTTTCTAAGAGAATACAGTGCATATATTACATATAGTGAATACAGAATGAAGTATGGAGTCACCCTTCCAGTCACGATGCATATTGAAATCTAAGACCCAAACTAAAAGTTACAATTCTAATGTACCAAGACACGCTTTTTGAAAGCCTCTGTTTTAAAAATCAGACAACTGGCTAACACAGAAGTGATTCTAATCAGACAAATACCTGAAATGTTCCCCAAAATTCTTACCATAGAATTTATGAAAAAGAGATTACTTGGAAAATAGTGCATTCTTATTTTCCAAGGCCTTTGTATTCTTATTTACATAGACCTTTAGCCACAGAATCACAGGTGAAAACAAAGTGAAATGTTATTTTATACCAGACTGCTAAATTCTAGATTGTGTTTGAGGTGCAGCTATGTGTGTACAGATGGAAAAAGTACTTTTACTTTTTTTTTTTAATTTTGGAACCTCAAGCATACATTCTGTAAGTTTTGTTATACTATTCAAATAATAAACAAAGGAGGTAAAATTCAAAATGCAGCACTGGTAACAGATTCCCCTATGAAATTCAGATATGCACTTCTGAATGCTGGTGACGGCACATGCAAAACTTCCTACACTGGGCAGAAGAAACAAGTTTTCCTGTTTCCCAAGACAAAGCTGTCTATTTGCCACTACAGTTACAAACCCAGGTGGTTAATTCCAACAATCACATTCTGCTGATGCTTCATAAAATAAAGAAAAGTATACCCCTTCTATGTATTTTATTTCCACATGTATGTCCACAAACAGTTAAATAATGTTCTGTACAAATGGAGAACAATATTACTGTTTTAATCCTGATCAGCTTGTTATTTGGTCCAGTTTCCATGTTGGCTTTCACTCCTGTAACAACTGAAATACGGGTAGAAAGCAGGACTGTGTAGCAATATTACAAAACAGGACCAAAAGTAAATAAAACAAGGTAGAAATGCAACCTTTTTTTCCTGCACAAAAACTGAAAGAATGCATTTCCACTGAACTGGAAGCAAAAAAAGCACACAGAAGTCTGGATCTCTTGTAAGAACTGCTGAACATAGCCTTTCCAGTGTCTCTTGAAAAGATTTCAGCCTTGGGCAGTATCTCAGCATTTGTGCTTCATGGCAAGCTGAAAAATAAAAATAAAAAAATTAATTAGAGATATCACATGCAACAATAGCTATATCAAGTTCATGTGGCCACAGTCTGGATCAGAAAAGCTTGTAACCAGAATTCTCCAGAAGATGCCAGAAAACCCTAACTTCTTTACACACAGACCTGCAGAGTTGTCCCCTTTGCTGGGACAGAAATACAAAGTTTCCTTTTGCTATGCTGAGGAGGCAGAATTTGTCTGCTTTCATAGCCGTTTCCCAGTGTTCCATTATTTTGCTATCTGTGAAGAAGCTAAAGCAAGATGCCAGAAACAAAGACATGCTTAGAAGGATGGTCTTTTAGATCTAATGATTTGGACTGTTAAATACAATCAGAAATTCAAGACAAGTCATTAGCTCTAACACTACATAATGATGAAAAATGAACGACTGATTGCCTTTCTGCCTCTGTGATTACTGAGTTAATATTACTGAGAATTATTTCAAATAATTCAAAAATTGACTTAAAACAGGGAATGAGAGTGAGAAGAAAGAGTTACCCTGAGTTATATCTTGTACAATAAGTGTATACAAGGAGATTTTGGCAAACCAAGCAAAGTACTTAAGTTTTAGGTGCTATATAATACAAAAATGAAATCTGTAGACAACAGCATGCTATACAAAGCTGAGATGAGTGACACGTCTAGGAAGCTACCTAGAAGCCAGAATTGGTAGGGACAGTTAAAATGCTACCAATAAATTACTCAAAACTAATTGACTTAAGCCTTTGACACTCAAGGACCTAGTCATAAATATGGCTATTTAAAAATCCTATTATTTGTAGAGGCATAATGGAAAGGCATTTCAGCATGAAAGAACTCCAATCAACACTTTTCTTTCTCCCCTGAAACAACAAGAATTTTTTTCAGAAATGTGTCTTTAGCAGGCAACTCCAACAGTAAGTTTTTATTATACAGAATCTGTAATTTCTGTGCAGTAGCCAACAAGGATAAGGAATTTTTAGAGGTGAACAAAGAAAGTGAAAAAGGTGTCATAAGTATGATGTGCCATGCATCTTCCACCATTTCCATTATGTTTTATTATCCTGAAATAACCTGACATATAGCTGGAGTAGTGTCCAGATACACAAATTAAACTGTAAGAGAAATCTACACCCAGTCATGTTACTGTAGTGGTGAAGACAATAATTCAAAATACTTTTACTATTTTACTGAAGGCAACTATAAAGCAACCAAAATAGGAACTCTGCTCTGCAAAAGAGGGCACTCCAGCATTTATTACAAATCCTTAACTATCACCCATGGAAAGACAGTCACACTCTTGTTGCAGGCAGCTGGTAATTGGGATAGCTTCAACAACACATGGTCCCTTACTGATCTGAGGAAGACTGGTAATTTGTAGAACTGAGCTGGCAGGAAGGTTTCATAAATCTCCATTTGGACTGTGTGCTGGACTGAGATTATCCTTTTCTATTCTGCATCATTTAGACACTTCCTGCAGAAACTAGTCTCACTTTCTGCCATAGAGACATGTGAAATCACACAACAATGTACAAAATCCTGACTAAGAGTTTCCCTGTAATTTTTATTTGTTTAAAAAAAAATATATATATTTGTATTGTGGGTGTTTTAGGCTTCTCCTCCTTTTCCACTGTTTCCCCCCAGTTTCTGTTCTGGATTATTATATCAGGATTTTGTAAACATTTATTTATAAATATGGTACAGCACAGGCTATCAAGGATAGTATTCTTATTACAACACTGCATACTTTAATCCTGAGATTTTTGTAAAGTAAGACTTTCCTAACAGAATCTGAAAATATTTGTTTTGGTTCATAGCATGTCTTCATTTATGCAACTGCTGTTCTGCACACGTAGAATATGAAAGGGCAATACACAATAATGAAACCTATTCAAATCTTAGTCAACATTTGTAATGGCCAAGCTATCAGAGGCATTTTTCATTTTTTAACTCCCTACCAAGCAGCTTTACTCTAAAGCAGCAAACCTGTTGTCTCCCATCTTAGAATCAGTGGTAGCTGCTGTATAAGGTTGTTTTTCTGAGTTGGCATAGTTCCCATCACTGAGGGGTGAGTGCAGGGAACAAGATGGTGTTAGATGGAAGAATTCAAGAGGAGGCTCATACCATATTCATGGCACTAAGCTGAACCATGCTTATCAAAATGGACCACAGAGTAGATGATAATGCTGGTAAAAGTTAAAACAAGTTGTTTTGTGACATTTTAAAGATTACATGTGACACAGGCTTGTATATAACTTCAAGATACCAATCCAGGATTTCTAGTGCTAATGCAGTAGCCAGGCACAGGCTGGTATAAGCATGACAAAGCCTAATGCATATCCTAAGCAGTAAACCTATCAAATTTACAGGCTCAAAGGCAGAAAGCTTCCTGCTGTGGATGTGTTACAGAGCCACCAAACTGAATGCTGTGGATGGCTAGAATTTCTGTCACTGAGATGGAAGCTGAGCACCATTATGCATGTGCAGATGCAACAGGAACAGTACAATCAATACCCTCCACCAAGAATAAACAATGTTCATACATTCTCAAGCCTGAACAATTCCTCAAAATCCTCATAAATAACATTTCTAGACATAAAAAGATACCTCTTCAGAAACACAGTCACAGACCAAACTATGACTGCTTGTCAGGGGGGGATTAACAACGATTTCACTACATTGCTGCACAAACTGGGGGGCACAGTTCCAAGCAGCAGTGGGAAGATGGATTTGAAACATGCCTCAGAAAGGCCAAGATAGGTGGTTTCAATTCAAATAGCAATGCAGCAAACCTCAGATCTTTGCAGTAGAAGAAGTTATAAACCAGAAAATTGCTAAGTGAGGAACAGTACCAAGGGAGACAGCAAACTTTGTAAACAGCGACTGTCATTCTTTCTATAACTTTCACCCCTTGCAATAAAGGAATGTGCAGCTCTGACGTAGTGAGAGCCTCATCCCACTAAAATCTTACCTTATGTGCAGTTTCTGCAAACTGCTGAGCACTGTTTTTCAGCTCCTCTGTCTTTTCTTCTGCTCGACCTAACCTTTCACCACGCTCATTCAAAGCCTGACTTGCCTTCTGTACTGCACTGGTCACACTGTCTGCTGCTGAATGGAGTATGCTGTTTCCTGCAATATCAAAAGAAAATATTAGAACACCCAGATATAGGCAAGTTTTGTATGAAATACAATTATCTTCAGCTACAATGTTCTAAAGAAATACAATTATCTTCAGTTATAATGTTCTAGAGTTGATGTGTTATCTGCTAGTTTATGATCTAGTTGCACTTTGGATAATAGAATACCTTACTGTTCTCTCACCCAAACCATATTATTAGCAAATTATAAACAAGTAACATATTGCAATACAGTACTTGGATAATACAAGGAAACAGTGGGCAGAACTTAGCTATGTATTTTTTTTTTAAGCCTTACGCTCATACATAATTTCAGGAAAAAACTACTAAATCAATGAAACTGTGAGAGGGTTCTTCACAACACTCTCATGTTAACAGAGATTAACTTTCTTTGGCAGTTACACGATTTCCCTAGAGCATAAATGACTGACACCACAGAAAGGTCTGTATGAATTCACCAGTTTTTCTACGATATAATTATTATAATAATACTCTATTTACAAAACACTGTTGCTACAGTTAGTTTATGCTGCTCTGATCTACCTACCTTTGACTCTTCCCCACTTGGAGCACCAGCCATGTTTCACATGACAACATACTTTATTTACACCATAGTATTTAAAGTCCCAGCAAGGCTCAGTATCTTCTAAAAGATTTTAGCTTTTCCATTCAAATCATCTTAGCAGTTTTTCTCTTTCTCCTCTGGCACACAATGTAGTAGTTTTCAACAGAACTCCACTTCTCCTCTACATTTAGCTTTTTTAAACATGCAAATCTTTTCAGTATTCCTTTCTAGATCGCTTCTCAAAAGGAGGGATTATTTACTCTCTGGAATGAACTGCTGATGACTGTTTATAATATGAAGCACAATACAAACTGAAAACTCTTCAGGGAAAGTTACATGTTATGAGTATGAACTGGTACATATTAAAATACATGTAGGACCAAAAAGAAGATTAAAAACTGTCTTGGCCTTTAACCTTTTCAGCAAAAGGGCTGGTAAAAACTCAGCTTTTCACAATACAGCAGTTCCTTGGTATCTTCCACAAGCTTTAAAACTTAATCGATCTTACAGGGAAAATATTACCTAGCAATTTGTTGTCTAGACATATCCAAGGGCACTCTGAGAGCCAGAAAGCCAAAAGAGTTATTAACCCCCAGGCACGCTGTCACTGCCGGTTGTCAAAACTGCTCCCAACGTTGTATGTACCGAGCCGTTTTTCACAGCATTAAAACCAAATATGTAACACTTTAAAAATAATTTATACTGGTAAAAGCATGAAGTTAGTTCAATACACAAAACTGAACTAAGCACTACAGCAAATCTGATGTTATAACAAAGTTATAACATACAAAGACGAGAAAATAAACATAGACCTACTACTTTTATCCTTACTCTGAAAAATCTGTCTACTTCATAAGTATTGCCAAGTTAAAAAAATAAAATCCAAACAATAATTTGAAAGGTTATTTTGCTATTAGTTTCATATGGGAACAGAAAAACAAAAGACCCGTTCAGACTCATTTTACAGATTAATATTCCTTTCCTTAGAAACAGCAAATAAATAATGAAGAGTGAATCTAAAGGTTGCCCCAAGTAGCCTGTGGAACAACAGTACGAACTGCACATGCAGGGAACTCTTGAGATAAATTGCCTTAAAAATTTTATTAAGCTAAACCACAACTATAGTATCAAAGTATGAAGGTGGAGGAGGAACCCAAGGTCCTACACAATGGCTCACATACGAGTCAACATGAGAAATACCATGCAAAGAGCACCCTGGCCTCCTGTAAACCAATATTGATAAATTTTTCACAGAAGTAATTAAGAATAAAGGAAGAATAGGATGTGGGACAGCTACAGGTTTGGGTTTATTTCTATTGTTGCATGGAACAAAGAAGCTGTGTTTAGAAAAGGAAAATAACAATTGGCACAAATGTTGAAGAGACAAGTATCTGAGAATACTGTGAGTTGGAATTTGTAGAGACAGAAATGAAACTTGGGTCTCTCTCCAGACAACTGAGGATTTTGATACTGAAACTGAAGAACTTTATATAGCGTACACTTTACTACTTTGAGGTATCTCACTAAATTGTTATTCTGTTCATAATTTGCTCATTTAAAGCCAGTTCTTAGGAGATTATTCTAGCTTCTGTTCAGGTAAACACACGTACTGGGCAACATGATGCTGGAAATAAGTTTGTTTTTTTTTTTTTTTGGTGTTGTGATCTAAATGCTTTAGCCCCTTGTATAAATCAGAGCTAGTTTTCTAGGATAAGAATTTTAAAAGTACTCAGCAATGGATTAACCCTGTTGTTGCTTTATGAGATCACAAAGGTTCTGTTGAATTCAAGGGAAGCAGGGTAAGTGGTGAGCTTTATAGAACTAAATATCTACTGAAGTCTTAATGTGTTGGGGAGTAGAAGTTAACAGACATTGCTGACCTTCTCTCAGTGTCAACAGAAAATTGCAGAATGAAGATGTTCTGTATTTTCTATATGCTTGAAAATGTCAGGATCTGTATCCAGAAATTGATTATCTATTTCTCCACACTGGTTTTGGCTGAGAAGGAAAAAAAAAAAAAAACAAAAAACAAACCCAACCAAAAACTTGGAAGTTTGGAATAATAATAATAATAATTGGTTTTCTTTCTAGCTAATACAGTATAATGTTCTCTCCAGGTAATATCTACTGTATTTTTCTGTGGGCAGTGACTAGCAGAAACTGCTATTCTGAGACTGCTCTTGAGAACTTCTTTTGAATAATCTGTTCCAATGGAATGTCAGTGAAAAAAATATCCACTTTAATCTATGAGCAACACAGAAACCCATGTGTCAGTAGTCTATTGAATTTCATCAGCCTATTTCTAGAGCATGTGTAGGTGGTTTCTGGTATGACTGACTATGCCTTGTCTTTATATTAGTATCACTGCAAGAATAGCAACACTTGTACCAGGTGCACCGGAGAATCATTTATATGAACAAAGCACAACCTGCAAAATTTTTAAGCTGTTCTTCAGGAGATAACTACTATGATTCAAGATCTCCAGAGAAGTTTGTTCCATGACTGAACAACAAAACTGTCTGAACTGTACCCACTCAGGTATAAATTTATGTCAACCATCTGCAATGAGCTACTGAAGAAAAAACTCAAAAAAAGTAAACTTTTCCCTAGAGTCTGGCAATAGTGTTTTCCATCTGTGCTTAGCTTTTATCAAAGATGTGGCAACTGCTATTAAGGATCTTGGTGATTTGGTTTTGTTTTGTTTTGTTGGTTCCATGAAGAGTCTGAAGAATTTCAGGACTTCTCATTTACTAGGTAAGACACACAAGCTCCTCAGTGGAAGACTTCCAACAGCTTTTCACATACATCTTCTCAATAAAGATTTTATAACACTTGCAAGATGAGATAAACACCACTGAAATATGGGTATGAGTCAGTTGATGTTTTGAGTTGTTTATAGTAGGAAAGTACTTGCATTATACCCAAGATATTCAGCCCCAAGGGTTTGTGACTTCAAATTTCACAGGCTAATCTTCACTGTGAGCAGAAAGTCACATGCTTGTCCTGCTGCTTCTTCTCTTTACAGGGATCCTCCTGGGTTTGCAGTATTTATGTATTAGCTCTGTAGAGCAGACAGCAGCAGTTAAGACTACAGTCTTTTTCACATAAACATGAAAGGAAAATAGAAAAGCGACCATATTTTGTCTTTTCTTTAAACAGCCTTTTTGAAGTCTCTATTAGGGGCAAGCATACAGCTTTTCACCATCTAACAGTTTCTGCACACTCATTAAGTGAAGCAAATACTGTCAGATAACATGGGGATTCTCATACCGTGTTTAATATAAAGTTAATATTAATCTCTAGTATTGGCAAAACACGTATGTTTAGGCCAACTTCAGTTTGAAACTAAACAAATCAAGCCTAATTCAACAGGTTTCATCAGTTTAATCTTGCTATATAAAGAAGCACTGAGACATACTGCTAATTTACTTTCAGTTACTCAACAAAGTGGCTTCATAAAGTCACTTCTAATACAGTTTTTTTTTTTTTCTGTAATAACTTTTGTCTTATTATCTGAAGTGGTCTACCCAGATTTACAATCAATTACAAGCATGGAAACACTCAGATTTATAAATCAATCAACAGCTACGCTGCTTAGTAAGCCACTTTGCTAAGTGAATTATACATTGCATTTTGAATTTGCTGTAGTGAGATATAAACTATTGTAACTGAACTTCCCTTTCCCCTTAGAAAATTCAGTTAGTGACCTGTATAATTATACACAACATTACTGGGGCACAAAAGTGCAGAAATAACAGAAGGGCAGCAGGTCATGGGTGAGTGCTTAAGACTAGTGATTGTAAGCATTACTTGCTTATGGACAGAAAACCTGAAGAAGTAACATTTTATAGGAAGCACTGTAGCTTCTCTTAAGACTAATCTTTAAATTTTTGGTTCTTATGATCACAAGCTATACCAAAGGGTCTTGTAGCCTGTGAAATCAGATGTCATTGCTTTAGGCCTTTTATTATGCACACAAGAAAAGTTCATCCTTAACCCACCATACCCAGTACCTGCAAGATGTCATTAATCAGCATGGGAACTGGTCCATTTGCAGAAGAAAATAACTGGTCTCCAGAATGATTTAGTTTGCATGATTTGTTTTAACACGTATTCATAAAAGGTTCATCACATTCGCTATTAGCCATATCAAATGTTTTTCAATTCAGTGCAGGGATTTATTTGTGCTTTAGTAACAAGACTTTACAGTGATTTGTAAATGCAAACATTTACTTTTTAATCATATATGTATTAACACAGCATTTAGCAACTATCTTCTTCTGAGAAGGAAATAAATGCAACTAGCTATGATAAGTTCTATCACGTGAACAAACTTTTTATTTAAAGAAAACAGGTATTTATGGTTCCAAATGAACTGCATAAAAAGGACCTGTGTCACTGAATAAAAGTTAAAAGCATAATGACAA